TGGAAGGCCATCTCTCTACAGCAGCCCTGGACTAACAAAAGTGGGTGTGGATTAGATGGCTCAGAGCCAGAGGAAGCTAGATGAAAAGGCTTGAGAAAGATGAAAACTCACTGCAATTGTTTCCACAACTACCACTTAAGGCTGCTTTGACTTGCAAATCATATTGTAGGTTGGTTTCTTGGATGGGAAAGCTTTGTAATTATAGCCTGTGAAGCTCTGAACCAAAAAGATAAAAAGCTTTCATGGGGTTATAAGGGAAGAAAAATAATCTTCCCTTTACCCTTCTGAGTTCTTAGCTGAGACCCCTGTAATAAAAAACAAATTAACAAGAGAAAAACAAACAGAAGTTTATTAATAAGCATACCTCATGTATACATGGGAGATAACCCAAGGAAAAATGAGTAATCCATGAGGTGGATTAGATTTTAGGATTAAATGCCCTTTTAATAAGAAAAGGGGAGGGGGAATATAGACCTCTTAGGGGGAAGTAAGTGATTTATAGGAAAGATGAGTAGGCCCTAAGAAGAATAGATGGGAGGGAGGATAATTTGTGACAAGGGTTTTCTGGGGTATGGTGTTAACTTCTAGTCTCTCCTGTGACAAAAGTCACTCTTCTCTGGTTGAAGAAACTCCTGAGGAAGGGATTTATGACAACTGAGTTCCTTTTGGAGAATCTGTCTTTAGGCAGATAAGGGGAGTTCAGAGACAGCTCCCCCTGCATTTGCTGTCTTTCAGATACCTTCAGTTCAAAGTGATCAATATACTAAAGTGCCACATTTTGAGGTGGCATGTCCTGCTACCCTGCAGGTTGATGCAGGTTGGAGTAACTGTGGTCATTGGTTCACCATTGCTGCTGTTTTCATCTTGTTTCCTTACAATGGGATCCCAGTTTTGGGCTGGTCATTGATTTATCAGCAGTAAGATGTAAGACCTGATAAATCGGCTTACTTGAATATAGGGAAAAATCCTGTGCATTTTCTTCCTATATTGCCTCCTGAGAATGCATTCCTTTCCGTTCCACAGTTCCTCCTTAGGCCATCAGCTTTTAAGTTAGGTGTCCGGATGGCTGCAGGAGAACCAGTTAGGGAGTTGTTTAAAATACAGATCCCAAGATTCCGATTTGGTGGGTGTGAAGAAGGGGCCCAGGAGTCTGCATTTTTGAAAAGCTCTCCATGATGCATTCAGAACATGAAATCAGGTCTGGGAGACACTCTTACAGTGTTATACCCAGTTTTCGCGAGATTAATTCACAGAGACCGAATTGAGCGTTTGGAGATTTATTATGCCAGCGGCTGCGAGGGGCTCATGCCCTAAACAGACTCGCAGCCCTGAACAGTCTCTGCAGCGAGAATACAAAGGCAAAACCCACATTGTTTGGCTAAGGCGGCAGGTGGGGGGCTAGCGAAGCGCCAGACAGAAGCTGAGAAAAGCGTTCATTAACTTTCTTGGTTAACTATTCCCTGGAATTTACTCCCTGGAATTTTTATGGGCGGAAACCTTTTACAAAGTTTACAGAGAGCCAGGGGAAGGGAAGAGGTCATTGTTTACCAAATTTTGTTGCTCCTGCTTATCTTCAAAGTAGCGGCTGTAAAGGCTGAAATGGGAGTGCTCTACTTTGACAGATTATTGCCACAAAGATGCAATAGTACCCTTTTACTTTCTGAGTCTTTCCCTTCTAAGCCAGCATCCATTCCCATTTCCAGGGTGGCATTAAAAACATACGTACATATGTGATTTCACTCAGGCCTGTTAGTAAAGTCAACAAAAGAACAGCCAAGCCCATATAAAAACGCTGTAAGAGTTTATTAGAGTTTATGGGAGCCAGACTGAGGACATGCCCTACAGCATGATCTTGATGGATTGAGAAAATGTTCTGGAGAATGGCACTTTGGCAGTTCTTTTTATATATTTAGAATCGGAGGAGAAAACATAAGGAAGGTTACATGAAATCCACTGGTGGTTGGTTAAGGAGGCGGGAGAAAGCAAAACAGGGAAATCTCTGGGATTGGATAAAAGCAAAATGGAGAAACACATTCTTCTTTTACATTGGTGGGTGTAGGATAGTTAACACTTAACAGTAACAGGAAATAGAGGTGTCGGAGGGCAGAAGGCGGCAGTGAGGAGCTTGGTGCCCATGCTCCTGTGAGAGGGCCTAGGAAAGATGACTCTGGCACTTTCAAAGGTATATTATCTGAGATGCAGAAGGACAATGGGCAGGGGCTCTATGAAGGTAAAGCTTAACCTTTTACTAAGGAAGCTTTGGCCTGGGGTGTGACCACCCACCACGACCTACCCAGTTAGGAATTTATGATCAGACCGTCCTGTGAGGCTACTTTTGGTCACTGAGCTTGTCAGACCTGCCATGTAGCCCCTTTCTCGTCCACAGCATCATTGTCCTGAACAACACATCTGACAATTTCCCATAAAAATGAGTTGGATAATACCCTACTGGAGAGTTGCTGAGGGCAATGCCTATAAACTCCTTATCCTTATAACAGTACACAGACTTTCATATATATTAGACCATTTATCTACATTTAAAGAGTTTCATATTCATGAATGAGAAAAGTGAGGGTTTGGTAAATAAAAGGTTCAATTTCTCTTTTACAAATGCTTTCTGGTACGGATGGCTACATTTATTCACTTTATACAAGTTCAGAGGGTCTTTTTCATATTATAGTAGGAGAGTTAATAAAAATTCCATTTTAACCATTTATTATACAATTCAGGCACTAGAAATAAGTGATTCACATGTGTGTTCCATTTAATTCTTTCAGTGGTTCCACAAGGTAGGCAAAGATATCTCTGTGTAGTAGTTAGTAAACAGAGAGTCTGGAATTTTAAGAGATTTCCCTAGTCACATATAGGTCTCAAGTTTTGGAGCTGAAATTTGAACCCAGGTTCAATGGTTTATTTTTCCTTTTTTGGGCCATTGAATAAAAACAGCAAAAGGTTATACTCATTTCTTATTACTTTTTCAAAAGAAGACTAGAATTTCCTAAGAGTTTGGTAAAACATGGATGCCACTTTCTCCCCCTCTTTTTTTTTCCGAACAGATTTTACATAGTAAAATGATAGCTTTCCATTTTTTTAACCTCAGTGTTAGAAAGGAACGAATTCAAGATGGAAAATCAAAAACCATACCACAGTTGGGAAGGTACTGGCCAGAGAATTCCCAGTGGGTTTGGGAATATGACTTTCTTTCTACATTGCTTATAGAATGTTTGAGGTCGCTCTGCGACCACTGGCTTTCTTTTTCACCTGTCCCCAAGTGGTGACAGGTGAGAGGCGTTGGAGCTAGAAAAGAACTAGTACACGTTTTTCTTTTTTTTTGAAAAAGGTCCCTGTCACTTATAACACCTACCTGAGAAAGTCATATGATGAATCATAGTGGGGAAATTCTGTTTGTTAACTTCTAGGAAATCACAGGGAATGAGTTAGTGGTCACTAACTAAGAATATCTTTTTTATTACAGAATTGAAACTAGGAGAAATTTCTTTAACCAGAGGATATTCTTTTTTAAATATCTCTCTTTTCTCTCATGAGGTTACAGATGTGGTCTGGTTATAGGTGGACAGGTGTGTTGGTAGCATTTGTGAATCTTGCATTGGGAAGCATGTTCCCATGGTCTCCCATCATAAATCATGTGGATTTAAGTGAAACCTTTGATGTAGTCAGCAGCCAACTCTTGGAGAACAGGGGCCATGTCTTAATGATTTCTTATATCTCTAATTCTGAGCATAGAAGTAGCACCTGGTGGGACCAGTGGCTCAGTTTTACAGCAGACTGGTCAACTCCATGAGCTGCTGTTACCATATGCATATAGCTGTGCTAGCGACCCATATATAGGATCTCTAGATTCTCTATGTAGCCTGCATGACCAACCCATAAGCCCTCTCTGTACCATTAGTTCTGATTTATTAATTTCCTGAGAAATGTTCGTTACTGATTAAGGTGTAGAGCATGACTAGGATGACAGAACGCATTTACTCAAGTTACTGTTGAGCTTTTTGTATGATAGGGTTAAAATTCAGATTGACCTTGAATATAATAAATACAAATAAAGTAGAATTAAGGCTATTAGGGAAATGCAGTTTTTTGAAAACTAAATACAGCATGGGGACTGTGTATGTGTGAGTTTTTTGTAGAGGAGAGCAAGGGGAACTCATGGTGATGCAACAACATACTGTTTTGTTTTCTTAATTGTTGTGCGCACACTGCCAGTTAACCACAGGAGCATAGAATATGGAGAACTGCTGGGTAACTTTTGCAAAATACTTAGTATTAGTCAGACATGTCTCTAATTCTCTGTCCACTTTGGCCAAAGGAAAATGTGGAGAATTTATCAAGGTTCCAGATTATGGCAACTGGATGTAGAGGAGCATTGGAAAATAAGACCTAGTGAGAGAGGCTAATAAATAAGGATTATTTCCTTAGCTTGAGCCAAAGCAGCTGAAGGGTGATTAAATTAATGGTCTTCTGTTGCATATATAGTTACTATGTAGAAGATAATATAATTATTTCCACTGTGAATAGAATAAAGGAAATAGATTTACATTAGAGTTAAAGGAGATTTTGATGGAGCGTAAATTGACTTTAAGGATTGTTGGACAGTAGAAAGACTTCCAACTGGAGATGTGAAGTCATGTTCCTTACAGAATAGAAATAGGGGTAGGTACTTCATGCCAGTTTGACTTAGATGCAGTTGTGGGGTACAGATTGACTTACTTTCTAGGTCCCATCTCATGCTGCTCATCTCACATTGTGTTTGACATTTTTGGTAAATAGATCAGTATTCTCACTTTATTTATATTTTTTCATAGTTATTACAAATGCTAAGACCTCACTTTTAACGATTCTGTAATGCTTTTTAAGCAAGAGAGAGGTTAAACCACAAACTGAAAATGACTTCACCTGCAAGTCAGCTTGCTGCTCCTTCTTACATGGGCCCTTAGAATATTCTCAATTCCAACCTGCCCTTTTTTTTTGGTTTGTTTTAGAAAACTTAACTGCACCCGCCCTCTTCGCTTGTTCTACAATGAGTGCCAAATCTGCCATCAGCAAGGAAATTTTTGCACCTCTTGATGAGAGGATGCTGGGAGCTGTCCAAGTCAAGAGGAGAACGAAGAAAAAGATCCCTTTCTTGGCAACTGGGGGTCAAGGCGAATACTTAACTTACATCTGCCTGTCAGGTAATGGAAACTAGATATTAATATTATTAAAGCAACTTCTTTAAAATAGTTCATTCTGAGGTATCCAGGAGGGTTGTATTCCCGGGTTTTGTACATGTCTGCTGTCCTGTTTTCCTGACGTCTTCTCTGATCCTTACTTATGGCACCTTTAGTTTTGAGGTTACCTTATATGGGAAAGGTAATGAAGTTCCACTTTAATGTATTTTCTGAATCATTCAGAACGTCTATAAGGGGTTCGGCAGACACAGTTGCTTGTCCATACTTCCTTCACTAGGACGTTGATGGAATGTGGGCTATCCTCTGGGCTTTTTTGTAGAACAATTCCAGATATTTGGTTAATTGTCCTTACTAGCAGCCTGAGATTCATTGAATTTCTTTTTCTTAACAGTTGCCAATAATCAGTGATAGTTTGTCTCAAGATAAATATCAACACATTGTGAAATGTGAGGAAGAAGTCTGAGCTCATAGATCACTGCTTTGCCTGACAGCTGTTCCTTGTCAGAATGAGGCATCTGTGTCTGTTAAGCTTAGTATTTTGTTGGATTATTTTTTTCTCTCTTTCTGTTTGTGATTGTTGTAGATCTGTGGGATGTACTGTGGATCCATACCAATTTTTTGAGATAAAACTTGGATAAGTTTTCCATGGAGTTATGGCGCATTTATAACATTTCTGATATTTCTTGTAGCTGGGCAATGGAAAAATTAAGTTTGCCTTAATTCATCCCTTTTTAAAATTTCCATTAATTTAAATTAATGGAATTAATTTGTGGCTTGGGAATTAAACTTTATTTTTGGGCCCATTTTTAACTGAAAAAAAATTATAAGCCTGTTATCATTTAAGCTTGTCAGAATTATTTCAGGGTAGAGATAGCTTTTTTCCAGAAAGAACATGTAAAGATAATAATAATAAGACTGTATCTTAGTATAAAATGAAATGAGAACAGCTTTGGCCAGTGTGGCTCAGGCGGTTGGTTGGAATATCGTCCTGTGCACCAAAGGGTCTTGGGTTTGATTCCTGGTCAGGGCACATACCCAGGTTGCGGTTTGAATCCCCAGTTGGGGAATGTACGGGAGGCAACTGATTGACTTCTCTCTCTCTCTCTCTCTCCCCCACCTCTCTCTCCTTTCCTGTCTCTCTAAAATCAATAAAAAGATAGCCTCCAGTGAGGATTAAAATAAATAAATAAAAACAAAATGAAATGATATGAGATCATAGCCCTTTGATAAGAATGCCTTCTGATTGGTTAAAAGAAAGCTTTTATTTAAATAAGTGTGGGAGAATTGACTTTGAAATATAAGTCTCTCTTTCTTAATCCCAAATAAAAATTAGGTTAATAAAATTTGGTTATCGTGGGAGGACATTTGCATGCCTTTAGTGTGCTGGACAGTGCCTGGCATATAATAGGGGCGCTATTCATATCTAATGACTAAGTGAAAGAAAGAAGCAGCCTTTCCTAATACCGTCCTAGTATTCTGTTAATGAGATTCAGGTCTTAAGATATTTTTTCATATTCTTAAATTTAGATTCTAGAATTTTTGCTTGCACTAATAACAATAGAAATGCATTACAATAAGTTTTGTTTTATGTTTGGGCTGACCTGAACATGGACACATAGTGATTCTAACTATATTTAGCTCTGTGCTCTCAATATTTCATTGATATTTCTTGAAGATAGTAGTTGAGGAAAAGATAGATGGTCTAAAATCCCCTAGTTTTTCCTAGTACATGCCTATACCTGGAAAAGAGGGCAGTTTTATGTGCATTTGAGGCACATGCTATTGTTGGCCTATTTTGGATCAAGTAGTCTACAAGAGTGATATGGGGACTCTAACTGCCTCATCTCAGTGAAATAACATAACCATTTCCCCTGCTGCAGGAGATGATGACTGGATAACTGCATGTCCTTTACAAATTACCAAGAACTTCGGGTTTCAAGTCTGAAACTATGAGACATGCTCTTTTGTTTCATTGTAACGGAGGAAAATCTTTTGTTCTGAAAGTCTTCATCTTTTTCATGTATTTGAATTTTGAGAGGGCAGGTTGATAAAATAGATCTGACATTTAAGCAAATGAGTTCATGGAAATTGGGGCAGAAGAAGGCTAGGCAACTTTGACACCCAAAAATTTTTTGCAGGTTGGTTTTTCTTATAATTGAGACAGCAGCAGCTACCTTTATTTTCTTACGTGACTCTTAGAGGAATATCAGTCACATCTCTGATAAGGTAATGTTTTTATTAACAAGTAATTTATTAATTACTCAAATATTTATTAAGTACTTTTTATGGACTGACCACTCTAGGCACTAGGGGTTCAGTTACGAAAAAAACTTATGAATCTTACCTTGTTTCACGGGGAAGGAGCAATAAACATTAATAAGTTACTCATTAAAATAAATATAATCATTAACCGTAAAATAGTTAACAAGGAAAAAGATAGATGAAGACATGTGTAAGGAGAATTTGGCCTGGTTGGGAGAACCCAGAGCTGCTCCACTGGTTCTGAAAAAAAGAACCATATTGGTGCAGAGAGCATTCCAGGCAGAGGGAATGGCAGCCTCATTAAAAGACTCAGCAGGGTTTTGAGTTTCTCCTTTCCTCCTATTAAGTTGAAGGATGACCTCTTTGTCACTAAACTCACCTAGGAGGCTGTGAAGTGAAAACAGAGTCCTTGAATGACAGCTTCCTTCCTCTTTTTAGTGTGAACCACCTAATGCTTTCCGGGGAGGCCAAGCCTTTCAACTCCTATGGTTTGATTGATGATAAAAACCAGCTATCCATTTTGAACAGGCAAAATTAGTACAAATTAAGACAATGTCTGCAAATAATATTTAACCACTTTTAAAACAGTATAAATAGTTAATTTTTTTAAAAAAAAGAGAAGAATATCATAGTTTTAAACGCTTGCCAACACATGCATGTAAGACATTGATATCCAGTGTCTTTTCCTAGTGTTTCTTTGTGTGAGTTCCCCCCTTTCAGTGTCTGGCAGAATTTATAATCAGAGGGAGAGGCCTGTGAACATAAGACATTATTTTCAGAGGGTAAGTATATCCTCTGTAAGAATGCAAAAAAGGTTCTGGAGTGCAGGAAATATGATAATCTTTCTTGAGTTACTTAGTTGTAATTGTATAAGGAGAGAAATAAAATCTCCAGTTCATTCATAGAATTTGAGTGTTTCTCATTGGACTTCCTGAATGGTTTCTTTAATGGTATGAAATGCTTATATACTGACATGATTCTATTCATTAGCATTTGTAAAGCACTTGTTTCTACTTTTCCTTCTTGGCAGTGGCTAAAGTTAAAAAGACTGACAATACCAAGTGTTAACAAGAATGTGGAGCAATTTAAGTTCTCATACTTTGTTGGGCAGGGAGGATGTGAAAGTGTAAGTGCTTTGGTAAACAATTTGGTATTTTGAAATAAAGTCAAACATGACTCAGCAACTGTGTTCCTAGGCATTTACACAGAAGAAATAAAATCATATGTCCACATAAAGGCATGTACATACAGCTTTATAACATTCTTATATATAATAACCAAAAGTCAGACTCAAATGTCCATCTACATGTGAATGAATAAGCAAATTATTTTATATCTATGCAGTGTAATACTACCCTAAGAAACTACTTGTACATACAGCCACATGGATGAATCTCAAAAGGCTTATGTTGGTGAAGAAAAGAAAAGAAAAAGATAGAAAAGACTACATGCTGTGTGGTTCTATTTATATGAAATTCTAGAATGGACTTGAGCCATATTGACAGAAAGCCCATTGGTGTTTGCCAAGGATTGGGATTGACTGCAAAGGGGCATGAGGGAATTTTTTCAGTAGTGTAAGCGTTCTGTATGTTGATTTTAGTGATGGTTACTTAGGTATAGCATACATTTGTCACAAACTCATAAAACTGCACACTTAAAATGGGTGCATTTATTTTATGTAAATATATCTCAGTAAATTGACATTCTAAAAATGTCTTATAGAGACACTAATGGGTTCATCTTTTATAGGTAAAAGAAGTTATCCTAGAATGCCCTTTTGAACCCTCAGACAGAAGCAGTTGTGGATCATATAAACTTGTGCATGCACCTATATGATTTGTGTACCTATTTGTTCTAAGTTTCTTACAGCACTTGGAACATTGCCGAGTATAGACACAATAGATGCTTATATGGAAGATGCTATTTAAATTTAGGGCTTACTACATACCTGATTATGGTATAGACTTTATTTGTAATAGAACTGTTAACTCATTTAAAGTGTGGAGTAAGCCCTTCTCACAACAATTTCTACAGTTAGTTGCCCCCTCGCTGATATTTCGGTCTATAAATCTAAACTAGAAACATGCTAAGAAGTTAAAATCAATGTATTATTAGAAGCTAGTTACCTATTAAACATTTATCATTTTCATGTTAAAAATCTATTCCCCCATCCAGTTTTAATTCAGTATGTGTAATGTGTAATGCTAGACTTTATGTCCATAAATGGTTAAAAAAATTCTTTCCTTGGTTGCTACTTATTGTTCCTATAGAAGGAGCATGAAGAAACTTTATTTTTTGTGGTTAATACATTCTTTTACATATTTTGTTAAAACAGAAAATCTTAATCTTTTCAAAATGATTTTGGATTTGTAGAGAACAAATTTTTCATATTTAAAAAAATGTTTTGACTGTTCTTTGATGATGTAATTTATGTAAATGTCCCCATGGAAGGTAATGATGTGGACTAGGAGCCTAGAACCTGACAATATTTTCTTTTTTTAATTTATCTTTACTGTTGAAAGTATTACAGATGTCTCCCTTTTTGCCCCCCATTGACCCCCCTCCATCCCA